AATAACACTGGGAAGTTGGACATCCGCTTTCCATATTTACATGAACATATACCTGGCCAAACATTTCAGCCTACGGATAGTGCAAAGCCTATTATCGTACATGGAAACAATCCGTTCAGCGGCACTTAGATGTGGACCGGATGCCTGGTGTCTATACGACCAGCAATTCCGACATAGGATGGCTAGAGACCCTCTACGACAATGGGACAAACTTGACGGTGAGCTATGGCTAAAATACATGATCCCGCAGTCGGGGCGTCAACAGGTAGGTGGTACATTCGGTCAGCTGACTGCTTCAAGTGTTTCAGACCCTGTACTTAACCTATGCTACGCATTCAACAAACCTCATGGGTGTAAAAAGTACAGCTGCGCGTACTCCCACATATGCAGTAAGTGCGGCGAAACAGCTCACGGGGCGTCGACCTGCTTTCGAGGACAGGGGGTCACACGACCCCCCCTCTCAATCAATAGCTCAAGCTCACGCTTTAATGGCTCAAGCCCACGCTTTAATGGCCCAAGGCAGTCAACCAGAGGAACTAGAGGTAAGGTCTTTGGCTCCTACTCCCGTCAAACTAGATAAGTTAACACCATGGTTGTGTCGTTATTCTCAGTTAAACGCAGAGGATGCGCAATATTTGCTCGATGGTTTTACATTTGGTTTCCAACTCGAGTTCCAAGGTACACGCCATAGGCGGCTAGCAGGTAATTTACAATCCGCAACCCATAAAGACAGGAGGGACATCGTTAGACAAAAGCTTAAAAAAGAACTGGATCTTAACAGAATGGCAGGACCGTTTAGCACTATCCCCTTTGTTAACTTGCAAGTATCCCCTGTAGGTCTAATCCCAAAGAAACAGGCAGAATCACAACAATGCCAAGGTGAGAAAGTCGATGATTTCCGTCTAATTCATCATCTGTCTTATCCAAAAGGAGGGTCAATTAATGACCACATAGATCCGCAAGCATGTTCAGTCTCTTATGCCAAGTTCGACGAAGCTGTACAGATGGTGCAACACTTGGGAAAGGGAGCACTGCTTGCAAAGTTCGACATCAAGTCAGCATTCAGAATTATACCAGCGCACCCGGATGATTTCGAACTGCTGGGTATCCAATTCGAAGGTAAATTTTACTTTGATAAATGCTTACCATTTGGATGCTCGATATCATGTGCTATTTTTGAGACCTTCAGCTCATTTCTCCAATGGTGCATAAGTCAGCGTATCCCAGCAATACCGATTATGCATTACCTTGATGACTTTCTGACGGGGGGACAGCAGGGCACAACACAATGCCAATCCTATTTGCAGTCTGCATTAGAAATGCTAACTCATCTTGGTATTCCCATCGCCCAGGATAAAACAGTAGGTCCAGTGTCTCAACTTACATTTCTGGGCCTCGAAATAGACACGCTAGCTATGCAGGTGAGAATACCGGAAGGTAAGATCAGTGAAATCACAGCCCAAATTCAGCACATACTCGCCACATCAAACTCAAAGGCAACAAAGAAAGAATTACAGTCACTCATTGGTAAGCTCAATTTTGTGTGTAGGGCCATCCTAATGGGTAGAGCATTCTGTCGAAGACTCATCGACCTCCTCTGCCAAGGTAAGCAACCTTTCCATCATATTCGAATCACAGAATGGGTAAAACAGGATCTTCAAATGTGGCTTACATTTCTCACGAACTTTAATGGTGTATCAGTATTTCAGGACAAGCTGTGGGTGGACAACTCTCACCTTCAGCTTTACACAGATGCAGCAGGGGGCATAGGTTTTGGGGCCTACCTTCAGGGCAGATGGTTCTGCGGTAGATGGCCTGACCATTGGGTTAAGGATGGGACAACACTTGACATGACCTTTCTGGAGCTGTTTCCCATCGTCTGCGCCATTCAACTATGGGGAACACAGCTGATGAACAAGAAAATACTGTTCTACTGTGACAACCAGGCAGTGGTGGCAATCATCAACAAGCAATCAACCGAAGCCCCTCGGGTGATGAATCTTCTCCGCCGCCTCATCCTCCTTTGTCTTAACTATAACATTTTGTTTAAGTCAAAATACATTGCAACTAATTCCAATGTTATAGCCGATGCACTCTCGAGGTTTCAGTTCAATCGTTTCCGGGCAGTAGCACCGGAAGCAGAGCCTGCGCCAACGCCGGTTCCAGACAACATATGGCACATCTGAAGCAAGAAGTTGACAGGCTACTACTACAGTCACTGTCTGAAAATACCTGGTCGACTTACAGGACAGGCATCAACGCGCTGCAGCAGTTCAGATCGGTGCATCAGCTTCCAGAAACGTGGCCAGTCCCCCTAGATCAGGTCGTAAACTTTATTGCTCATTTGTCAGTCACCAACCATTCTCCCAACACAGTCAAAACATATATCGCTGGTATATCCGCCAACCATAAATTTAAAGGTATGGAAGACTGTACCAATCATTTCCTGGTTACTAAACTAATAACAGGTATGTACAAGTCAAGAGGGCGCCAGGACACAAGGAAACCTATTACTCTGGATCTGTTGAAGGTGGTCATCAACAATCTCACACAGGTTTGTTCTTCGTCATACGAGGTATGCCTTTTCAGAGCTGTCTATTGTATAGCCTTCTTTGGCTTCTTTAGAGTAAGTGAACTAGTTCAAACTAAGATGTCACAGCCAGGCTGCTCCATCAATAACGTAAGTATATCAGGCGAACCGGAGAAAGCTACTATCCACCTTCCACACTCCAAAGGCGACCAACATGGGTACGGCAATTCAGTGGGTATAGAGCCGACACCAGGTAAATCACCCTGCCCAGTGGCTGCCCTTAAGGCTTACTTAAAGGTACGCCCATCTGGCCCCGCCCAAGCATTTATCCACTTTGACCATTCACCGCTAACCAGGTATCAGTTCCAAGCGGTCCTAAAAAAGGCCTTGGCCCTCAGCTCAATAGGTACGGAAAGTTATTCTTCCCACTCTTTCCGAATCGGGGCAGCAACAACGGCAGCGATCAAGGGGGTACCACCACATCTCATCCAGCAATACGGCAAGTGGAAGTCAGAATGCTATCAGTCGTATATACGTCTTCCTGTGACATAATTATTCATGTTAGTTAACAAGAACTAAAGGCAAATAACTAATAACTGCCAAATGCTACTATAGTACATTTGTTCCAGTCTGGATGGTGGGCTCAAGCTTTATGACAAGGGCGAGGCAACAGCTGTCCCCACAGCGCCCGGAGCTGGTGCCCCACAAAAAGATTTTGTGGTTGGCAAGGGGCGGACTGCGGTGGAATGACCTGGACAGGGTGATCGACACTCAGGTGGAGGCAACGAGGCGCAGTCCTTCAGCTGTCGTAATACACTTGGGATCCAATGACTTGGGATCCACAAAGACCAGCCAGCTCCTCATAGATATGGAGACGTCAATCATGCGGATCCAGGCACACCTACCAAACACCCATGTCTGTTTTTCTGGTATCCTACAACGAAGGTATTGGCATTCCGCACGCGACCCACGTAAGGTGGAAAAGAGTAGATCTAAGCGCAATAGGCGGTTAGCCAATCGTCTCCGCGACCTTCCTAAGTTCTCATTTATCCCCCATCCTAGAATAGTGGCCACTGACAGGTCCTGGTTCCAGTGGGAGGGAATCCACCTTAGTTGTAAAGGGATAGGAGCTTTCGTAAAGGATATCGATCATGCCTTGGTCCAAATTTTCAAGTAGGTAAATATAAAGGTAAGACATCTTTCTTATGAGGCAATCATGGCGGGCACGCGAATCATCATCCGCGGCCGTGGGGTGTGGGGTAGCACTTTGGTGCTAAGTGGCGTGGTTCTTCTGGGCTACCTCCTATATCATCATAATTTATATTGATATATATACTAATTAGGGTTTCCGGTTACCTGCTTTCCAGCGGGAACCCAGACTGGGTTACCTTCTTACCAGTTGGAACCCAGTCTTTCCCGGGTTTTCACTCGGGAATCTAGTAACAATTATATTTGGCAACGCAAGTTGCCACATAGCTGGGCCTGGCGGCGTTCGCTCCCATTTAGACCCGCAGCGTTGGTCGGGTTGCGTCGTTTCCGTCATTTGGGCCGTAGCATTAAGTATATATTAACAATTAAATTTGGCCTGGCGGCGTTCGCTCCCATTTAGACCCGCAGCTGTGGTCGGGTTGCGTCGTTTCCGTCATTTGGGCCGTAGCATTAAGTATATATTAACAATTAAATTTGGCCTGGCGGCGTTCGCTCCCATTTAGACCCGCAGCTGTGGTCGGGTTGTGACGTTTCCGCCATTTGGGCCTTACCATTAATTATATATTAACAAATATGTTTGGCGACTCAAGTCGCCACATAAATACTATTTATTCCATTTCTAAATTGGGGTAGCCCTTTAGAACCTCCACACCCTCGGCCATTAAATCCACTGTTGCGTCTTTGTCATTCTTTCAACATAGCCCACCTTCCTCAGGGAGGTGGGCCATCGCTGTAATATCCTGCAATAAGTACCATATACAGGCTCCAGCAATGGTACCAGACCACCAACACTACAGATGACCGACCACGTTGTGGAAAACCAGGGTACAGAGTCTTCAAGATCGCTTTTTTACTGCTGTGGAAACTGCTTGACAGACCATGGGGACACACCAGCGACACATTAGTGCAGACACCGTGCGTTGATGATTGACGAGCAGACACCTCCACTGGCACAGGCCACACTGAGTGCCTATGGCCTTCAGTGCCAAGTGCCTATGGCCTTCATCAACCGCCTCATCCATTCCACGTATCGACGTTGCACGGCAGTCATCAATGCACATGGTGGATACATGAGATATTGACTTGTGATGCCATTTTCTCGTAGACTAGTGTTTTGTTTCTCAAATTATGTTTACAGTTTGGACAAATAAGGTTTCTCATATATCTATCCATGGTGATGTTTCTTTTGCGGTTCAGTATATGTTACAGCTGATCCCTACTGTTCTTGCACCAGGTGAGCTAACAACTGACAAAGAGTTACCAGGAAACTCAGCAAATGTTGTCCAAACCAGATCTCTGTAATCTGCTGTGGTGAGGGTCTTGCACTCCAGGAAACATGCAGGATTGGGATTGTACATCACATCAGTCCCTACAACCCACAAACAACAGCAGTATGGTCACTTACACTGAAACTTTCTCACTTTCTAAAAATTGTGACAAAAACGGACAACTTGAACATGGTTCCTATGATGATCTGGGCATGCTGCTACTCATCATTCTGTATTTACTTATCAACTCATTTATCTTGTTACTATCCTGCAGCGTTTATTTTAGATGTTGTCAAGCAGAAATGGCAGCCTTATCATAGCAATGTTTACAGCATATTATAGCTAATGACAGACTGCTCTCTGTTCTAGTGTTATTTGACATCACGTTTCTTGTCTGTGACGTCATCATATATTATGTCCTATGACATTGCTATTTGTAAATCAATGACATCCATTAATATATTGAGAGGTTTTCATGCTGCTGTTTGTTGTCTTACTCATTTTCGGATTTGCTACAAATTCTATACACCTTAGCCATAATAATGGTAATGTTATTTTTCAGGGCATTATCATTTGCAGAAGCCGTCAGTATTTTCAACTGTCCTCCTTTATCAGACACTTAATGGCAGACCTTGGGCTACTGCAAATGATAATCCCCTGAAGTATATTAGTATCACGGCCATATTACGGCAAAACTCAGTTTAATAATAGTAGTAATACAGCTATATGATGAAGCCCTTCACAGTGTAATCATGCTGATAAAATAGCTATCTACTGCAATCTCTACAATGTAATCATTGAAATATTACAGCCATTTCTAAAGAAAATTGACATGAGCTACCACATTTGTCATGAGATTGGTAGAGACCTTATCCGCTGCTGGTCCCAACCGGAGCACTCAAATATGATGCACCACTCCCGGAAACATGAGTATTTCCTGAAAGTTCGATGAATCGACCTAGTTGACATTGACAGGTCTAGTGCTGGCTCTTAGGTATCTGCATGAGATGAGAGTTGAATCCATGGCCGGGTCTCTTTAAGATCACAACTGCCGCTTTGTCTGAGAATTTCCAAACCAAATTGCCAATTAGATTGTCTTGTCTGAGAGGCTACAGCACACGAGGGCTCTTGCTCTTCCTGCAACACCAGGGTAACTGTGTGTGGCAGGTGGGCTAACAACCCAGCCAGGAACCAACAGGAGGCAGATTCCTGGACTGGCCGGACACCCAACCACCACCTGACCTACTTGATAATGATTTGTTATGTTATTGAACTTGTCCTGTCTGTAATGAGGGACTATCAAAAATACTTAGTACACATAGAACTTACCATGACATCCATCTGGACTTTCAAACAAAGCTGTGGTAAGAAGCACAATACCATAGTAGGAGAAGGCACAGACCAACCTGTGGAAAGAGGGAATAGAGTTGGTGTTCCGGGAGGCTCAAGTATGCATTAAATCACTTGGCAACAAGACAGCAATAAATGCAGTCCGAAAGTCATGTGGCAGCCAGGACACTGCAGTCATTGACTGGTCAAAAAGCTGGACACTTAACTAATCAAATAAGATCATTACTAATAATATGAAAAGATTGTCAAATCTGAGATCTCTCCATGGCTCTGTTTGCAAAGCAGTCATGCTGGAAAATAAATATACTTTTCAAACATCTTGGAAACAACCATAGTATCCAAAGTGTCTCTGAGATTTGCAAACTCTTGTATACTATAATAGTTTCTGAACGTTTCCAATTGGAAACTTAATGGTTTACTGCTGTCTTGCCCTTTACGCCCAATGGAATGTTTCACAGACTGGTCATTCTCTGGCATTGACATTTTACAGGACTTCATGATTTGATGACTCTCAAGAATCAAGAATCAAGTATTTGCCAAATTCATGGTAGTATTTTAGATCAGTCACAAAACGTGACTTGTTTGGCAATGTTGTATAATGTGCTGGGCGTGTAGTAATGTTACAACAATGAGAACAGATAACAGTGCATACCAAATGACCCACAGTAGACCGGTGGTAATTCTGTATTCTGGTGTAAACAAGTCTGATATCCGGCCTCGCCTGATAGGCTGCAACAAGTAAGTTTATTAGAATGCATACTAATCTGCTGGTTGTATTTGAAATAAGAATTACACATTTACAATCTGAGTGTTATTTTGGAAGGACTCAAGAACGCCTCTGCTGGAGGAAGCTAAGGTATGCTTCATTACTTGAAATTATTTGATCGATCAATCTGTTTTCTAGTGCTATGGTTCTTCACAAATAAGGTGATACTGTATATTGATCATGGTAGAATTTCTATATTTCACATCTAATCCAAAGTTAAAGCAGTGCCTTCGTAATGATTCTGCCTTGAAACTGTTTCCTTGTGTGAACCACTTACCTTTGATGACTGTGCATGTGGCTCAAGAAGTCGGCCAAGTGGCATGGGCTTGCCATTGTCCTTAGCAATACGTTGTATTGTTGCAAATGCTTTCTCGGTTTGACCTCGTGTAACATCATAGCGTGCACTCTCTGGTAACCACTGTTCACAAGCAATGGATTAAGCATTATGGCAATACCAAAGTTAAGTTGTGTCATAAGACACAAGACTCCATTGCAATAAAGGCACATATTGAGATCTTTCTTCTATCCAACCAAGCAGACATTAGTCAAATCAGTTGATGTGATATGGCTGCAATATTGCCAGCACAATGAAATTTTAAAAAATTAAATCTTTTAAAAAAGGGGAGTGGTTTATGGCAGAAAAACAAATAAAACTGATCCAGAAGATATCAATACTTACTACAAAGCAGATAGAGAAGATGACTTGTACATAAGTCTGATCCAGTAAGATATCAATACTTACTACACAGCAGATAGAGAAGATGACTGGTACATAAGTCTGATCCAGGAGATGTAAATACTTACTACACAGCAGATAGAGAAGATGACTTGTACATAAGTCTGATCCAGTAAGATATCAATACTTACTACACAGCAGATAGAGAAGATGACTTGTACATAAGTCTGATCCAGTAAGATATCAATACTTACTACACAGCAGATAGAGAAGATGACTTGTACATAAGTCTGATCCAGTAAGATATCAATACTTACTACACAGCAGATAGAGAAGATGACTTGTACATAATTCTGATCCAGGAGATATCAATACTTACTACACAGCAGATAGAGAAGATGACTTGTACATAAGTCTGATGCAGGTGATATCAATACTTACTGCAAAGCAGATAGAGAAGATGACATGCACGTTAGTCTGATCCAGTAAGATATCAATACTTACTACACAGAAGATAGAGAAGATGACTTGTACATAAGTCTGATCCAGGAGATATCAATACTTACTACACAGCAGATAGAGAAGATGACTTGTACATAAGTCTGATGCAGGAGCTGTTAATACTTACTACACAGCAGATAGAGAAGATGACTTGTACATAAGTCTGATCCAGGAGATATCAATACTTACTGCAAGCAGATAGAGAAGAAGACTTGTACATAAGACTGATCAAGGAGATATCAATACTTACTACACAGCAGATAGAGAAGATGACTTGTACAGAAGTCTGATAGAGGAGGTATTGGTTACTTACTGCACAGCAGATGGAGAAGATGACTTGTACATAAGTCTGATGCAGGTGATGTTAATACTTACTACACAGCAGATAGAGAAGATGACTTGTACATAAGTCTGATGCAGGTGATGTTAATACTTACTACACAGAAGATAGAGAAGATGACTTGTACATAAGTCTGATGCAGGTGATGTTAATACTTACTACACAGAAGATAGAGAAGATGACTTGTACATAAGTCTGATGCAGGTGATGTTAATACTTACTACACAGAAGATAGAGAAGATGACTTGTACATAAGTCTGATGCAGGTGATGTTAATACTTACTACACAGCAGAAAGAGAAGTTGACATGTACATAAGTCTGATCCAGGAGATATCAATACTTACTACACAGCAGAAAGAGAAGTTGACATGTACATACGTCTGATGCAGGTGATGTCAATACTTACTACACAGCAGAAAGAGAAGTTGACATGTACATAAGTCTGATCCAGGAGATATCAATACTTACTACACAGCAGAAAGAGAAGTTAACATGTACATAAGTCTGATCCAGGAGATATCAATACTTACTACACAGCAGAAAGAGAAGTTGACATGTACATAAGTCTGATGCAGGAGATGTTAATACTTACTACACAGCAGAAAGAGAAGTTGACATGTACATAAGTCTGATGCAGGAGATGTTAATACTTACTACACAGCAGATAGAGAAGATGACTTGTACATAAGTCTGATGCAGGTGATGTTAATACTTACTACACAGAAGATAGAGAAGATGACTTGTACATAAGTCTGATGCAGGTGATGTTAATACTTACTACACAGAAGATAGAGAAGATGACTTGTACATAAGTCTGATGCAGGTGATGTTAATACTTACTACACAGCAGAAAGAGAAGTTGACATGTACATAAGTCTGATCCAGGAGATATCAATACTTACTACACAGCAGAAAGAGAAGTTGACATGTACATACGTCTGATGCAGGTGATGTTAATACTTACTACACAGCAGAAAGAGAAGTTGACATGTACATAAGTCTGATGCAGGAGATATCAATACTTACTACACAGCAGAAAGAGAAGTTGACATGTACATAAGTCTGATGCAGGAGATATCAATACTTACTACACAGCAGATAGAGAAGGTGACATGTACATAAGTCTGATGCAGGTGATGTTAATACTTACCACAAAGCAGAAAGAGAAGTTGACATGTACATAAGTCTGATCCAGGAGATATCAATACTTACTACACAGCAGAAAGAGAAGTTGACATGTACATAAGTCTGATGCAGGAGATATCAATACTTACTACACAGCAGAAAGAGAAGTTGACATGTACATAAGTCTGATGCAGGAGATGTTAATACTTACTACACAGCAGAAAGAGAAGTTGACATGTACATCAGTCTGATGCAGGTGATGTTAATACTTACTACACAGCAGAAAGAGAAGTTGACATGTACATAAGTCTGATGCAGGAGATATCAATACTTACTACACAGCAGAAAGAGAAGTTGACATGTACATAAGTCTGATGCAGGAGATGTTAATACTTACTACACAGCAGAAAGAGAAGTTGACATGTACATAAGTCTGATGCAGGAGATGTTAATACTTACTACACAGCAGATAGAGAAGATGACTTGTACATAAGTCTGATGCAGGTGATGTTAATACTTACTACACAGAAGATAGAGAAGATGACTTGTACATAAGTCTGATGCAGGAGATGTTAATACTTACTACACAGCAGAAAGAGAAGTTGACATGTACATAAGTCTGATCCAGGAGATATCAATACTTACTACACAGCAGAAAGAGAAGTTGACATGTACATAAGTCTGATGCAGGAGATGTTAATACTTACTACACAGAAGATAGAGAAGATGACTTGTACATAAGTCTGATGCAGGTGATGTTAATACTTACTACACAGAAGATAGAGAAGATGACTTGTACATAAGTCTGATGCAGGTGATGTTAATACTTACTACACAGCAGAAAGAGAAGTTGACATGTACATAAGTCTGATCCAGGAGATATCAATACTTACTACACAGCAGAAAGAGAAGTTGACATGTACATAAGTCTGATGCAGGAGATGTTAATACTTACTACACAGCAGATAGAGAAGATGACTTGTACATAAGTCTGATGCAGGTGATGTTAATACTTACTACACAGAAGATAGAGAAGATGACTTGTACATAAGTCTGATGCAGGTGATGTTAATACTTACTACACAGAAGATAGAGAAGATGACTTGTACAGAAGTCTGATGCAGGTGTTGTTAATACTTACTACACAGCAGAAAGAGAAGTTGACATGTACATAAGTCTGATCCAGGAGATATCAATACTTACTACACAGCAGAAAGAGAAGTTGACATGTACATAAGTCTGATGCAGGAGATGTTAATACTTACTACACAGCAGAAAGAGAAGTTGACATGTACATAAGTCTGATGCAGGAGATGTTAATACTTACTACACAGCAGATAGAGAAGATGACTTGTACATAAGTCTGATGCAGGTGATGTTAATACTTACTACACAGAAGATAGAGAAGATGACTTGTACATAAGTCTGATGCAGGTGATGTTAATACTTACTACACAGAAGATAGAGAAGATGACTTGTACATAAGTCTGATGCAGGTGATGTTAATACTTACTACACAGCAGAAAGAGAAGTTGACATGTACATAAGTCTGATCCAGGAGATATCAATACTTACTACACAGCAGATAGAGAAGAAGACTTGTACATAAGTCTGATCCAGGAGATATCAATACTTACTACACAGCAGATAGAGAAGAAGACTTGTACATAAGTCTGATCCAGGAGATATCAATGCTTACTACACAGCAGATAGAGAAGAAGACTTGTACAGAAGTCTGATAGAGGAGGTATTGGTTACTTACTGCACAGCAGATGGAGAAGATGAGGAGAGGTATGGCAGACAGACCCAACAGCCATTTCCATCCCAGTGTTGGCATTACAATCAAAGCAAGCACTACTTCAAAGCAGGCCCCTAGGGCCCAGAAGATCTGTAATAAAGAACAAGTCAGGGACTGTCACTGCAATAATACACTTTGACAATAAAGTATATGATGCTTTCTTTTTTCAAGTTTAGATTCTGTTTACTTTCCTTTGAATGAATGAATAGTCAATAAACAGATTTAAGACTGACACTTACCACCCACAATACTGACTCTTCTATCTGGTTTTCAGAGAAAAAGATTTCTTTATAGATTTATGTCAGAAAAGCAGACAGTATGTCTGTTATAATGACTGCTGGCAGCCTCACTTACCTCTACCAGGATCACACAGGTAGCTCGTGACTTGGATGGCAGGAATTCTGCATATAAGGTTACTCTGAAACCATTGATACTTCATGTTACATTGACACACATTTGTTAATGGGATGTACAGGTCATGCATGAAGAAGGCCTGAGTGGCAGGCAAGGCTACTCACAGGAACATTCTAAGTAAAGTGACATAAGTAAAGTGTAGCTACACGCTTTGAGGACTTTACAACTTTGCTTTTATTTGACTGTATGAAATGATCTGTTTGTTGTTGGCATCACAAGTAACATGTAAAGGACCTTAGACAACAATGTCATGGTAACAAGTGTCCAGGTAATTACATTCTGCAAAGTCATACCTTGCGGGAACTATTCCTCAACAAGGACACCCGAACACCCACCCCCCAACATCACGTTATCAGCTACTGAAGTACGAGCGGGGAGGCAGTGCCAGCCCCGGTAGTGCCATTGTAACATAATGCAGGATAAGTACATAAATATATGATATATTTCATGCTATTTGTTTAAACTATTCCTGCATTACATATTGGACTTTATCAATGGTTAAAGAGGGGCATATCTTCAGTGTTGACTGGTTCAACAAAGCATCATCAGTGGGTAATTGTAGCAACATCATGCAAAATCCTTTGCATGCCAACAGCTAATGCAAACACAGTTGGAGCTTGGAACAGGACCCACGAGAGCTTGGTATACTCATCAAGGATCTTACCTCTGGCAGTCGTAATACTCGTGATCATATAGCATCAAGGCTGCTGGGGTAACAAGTGGCTTGAATAATCGTACTTCAGAGCTTGATGGACAAAAATGGATGCATTTTCAAACACCCCTTAACATTCCTCCCAAAGAGGGAAGATCAGCTGGTAGTGGCCAAGGTTGCACTACCAGCATCGTTCAAGGTTGGAAAACTGCTGCGGACCTCTAACGGACCAGAACTATGGACACCCTCCATGTCTTCAACTGTCATGTCACTAGGGCAGTAGCTGGAAAACACAGTGTCTGATCTGCAAAAGCACTGTCCATAATGGCTGCAACAGTACAGCTGCCAAGGACAATCATCGAGAAGGCAATCGCCAAGTTTGCGATGATGTTCTTGAGGATTCTCCAATCCTGCCACATCAAATACCTGTAGGATGGTAGATCGAAGCCAGAAGGCAACAGTATTTCTGTTAACTTCTGCCCAGCTGTTCTGAGCTGTAAGAATGAACAGTCTCTTATGCGTCTTCCGAGTAGACTGCTTATGCTCGAGGTAGATTCGCAGGGCTTGCACCAAACAGAGAAGATCATCTTTGTCTTCAGATCCTGCTACAGAATCGAAAGGCAGCACTTTTAGTCTGGTTATCCTGGCAACTGTTTTTGGGCGATGAAATCCCAACAAACCTCTAACTAGACAGCCCCACGTCTGGCCTGCACAAAATGCTTATGGTAACATCAAAGGCATGGATTTCACCAATGCCAACAGGATGCTACTGTTGTTGAGACCTGGTCCGAGTGGGTCAACATCCGATACCTGTGCAATGTTGCGCATGACCATATACTCTGGCAGTGAGAGACCCTTGTCCATGGGCAATGTTGTCTTCAAGGTAACCTCGGAACCATGTGATGTGACTGGGAGCCAATCCACCATCCAAACCAAGCTGGAGTTTGACTCTGATCCAAGTCATGATGGTTGTTGTACATGGGATGAAGAAGACTGTCACGAGGCCGCAGGCAAGTAATTGTCTGGGGGTTGATGGCATCAAGTGGATAACCAACTGAGCTGCTACCTGACTGACAAATGACTGCAATAAGACTGGGTTGAGCCGACATGCCCGGTGACAAGGGGGTCAAGACCATCAGCAGTGTCGATTCCACCATTGCCTTGCAATTCTAGACAACTGTCTAACAATAAGTGGTAACCATGCTAGATCCCTAATAAAGGCATATTTTCCCAGTACCAAGAAGAAATGTATGGTTCTGTTATGAACAATATTCGGTGCACACATATCATAACTACCCCAAATGGTTTGAGACCGACCATACCATACTATCATACAATTTGGAATAGCTTTGGAAATGCATACCACCTATACTCTTTAACTTCGAAATTAACAGTCCTAAAACCATATGGCTGACTTTGGTGCTGCACACCTAAATACATATCTGCATGAAGAAGTCCTGTCACAATCTGAACAAAAGACCAAGCAGCCAAAGTGGAAAACTACACAAACCCCTCAATCCCTCCACAGGAAGAGAGATAAATGACTTCGTATTCAACAAACTGAACCCCATACATAACACAGCTCAACATCTCATAAAGCTCCTAGCACCATCAGTAAAAGAAGGAAAGTCCTACATCGGCACCCATTTCACAGGACATATATAGATCTCTTACGGTAAGGCATCCACATTGACACATCTTTCACCATCGACAGCATTATACAATTAACTGCCTGTTTTTCAACACTTTTTACTTCACATGGCAAGATTCATGGGCTAGATTTTTAGTCAGCATCCAGTACCAAGGCACCACCAGTCACCAAAACACCAGACTGCTTACAAAACTGCATTTCTGACAAGAAACATCCGACCGGCCCATGGCAAAGGTTCTATGCAGTATTAAACCCCAAACCCAGGACGATGTGTTCCGTATATATGAGATCATGTGGGGACCAATCTACTTGAGAGAGTAAAAGTAACATTCTGATGAAGCCTGTCAAAATCAACTGTACATCAAAACACCATACTGGTATGATTCCTTACATTCTATATGTTCAAATCAAGTGGTAATGGTACATTTAAAGTTGATAGTAATGTTTCACAGCATGATATATTTAAACTGTAACTGAGACTGCCATAACTATTAAACAAGAGGACAAAGTCATCGATATGCTCTGTAATGGTAATACTTGTGAATAAATATATAAAACATGTCACCAAAGAAACTCAATTTTATATATTTTTTAAACTATCAAAAGGCACCAGTTCACCACTAGACCTATCTATGTGCTGAGTTTGGTGAAGAATTATTTGTACGGTTTTCAAGATCTGCTCCAGAAACGACATATCACATTGACGGATGGATGCATGGATGCAGGGACGCACGCAGGGATAACAATTCCTGTAGTTAAGTATGTTTCATGAAGAAACATTGAATGCTTAATTAGTTATCCTAAAAATAACAGTCACCTCATTTGCATATGTTGCCTGGGAAACAAAAAGTAATATTTTTCCTGAATAACAAAAGGCACCAGTGTAGCATTTTTTCTATGATGTGTAATAATTAATGGGGATAATTAGGAAGATATCTTGAAAACATTTTAGTCAAAACCTTGTGGTGTGTTGGTCAGTGGTGAAAGGAATTTTAGGATCATGAAATGTAGATCAATAAAGTGTAACAAATAAATTGTAACAAATGAAGATAAGTTTACATGCTTATTGAACTTTGCAGTGCAACAGAAGCATGAGGAACTATATGCTAGTTAGATACATGTATGTCCATGCAGCTGTTTAGACTAATGGATTGAGTTTCATGTCTGAAGCTGTTAAGTGTGACATGAAACTGGAGAAGACAACATGATCTGTCTGATTGAGATGTGGTGTAACCACCATTAAATGGCAACCTAGCCTTGTATGGATGGTCAAATGCAACAGCTGTGTGCCATCTGATATTGATAATACATTACTGTATAACTGAGCTCCATACCTTCAATAGGCATAATTGTGCATTGTATGCAGTAATGTGGGCTGCTTGTCAATACCTGCACACACGAGAGTAGAACCATTGGCTCCACTAGTGGAGGCGGTAGAACACTCCCCAGGCTCCGCAGTGACAGACACTATTGTAAATAATACCATCAATACAATGCACATATTGCATTTTGCAGCACTTAATCAAGAAGGTTCACAATGACTATTGATCTGGAACTTCTAGAGGTGGTGTGCTGTGTTGTGTGAAGCAGGCCTAAAACACCATGTTCTGAATAGGGGCATATCTAACACCTTCACTTGTGACAAGCACTGTGTTATACATTACATTGTGACAAGCACTGTTATACATTACACTGTGACAAGCACTGATAAATTACGCTGTGACAAGCACTGTTATACATTAAACATATAACAAGTAGTGTTATACATTACACCGTGACAAGTAGTGTTATACATTAAACTGGGACAAGTAGTGTGTTATACATTACACTGTCACAAGCACTGTGTTATACATTACACTGTGACAAGTAGTGTTATACATTACACTGTCACAAGCACTGTGTTATACATTACACTGTGACAAGTAGTGTTATACATTACACTGTGACAAGTAGTGTTATACATTACACTGTGACAAGTACTGTGTTATACATTACACTGTCACAAGCACTCTGTTATACATAACACTGTGACAAGTAGTGTGTTATACATTACACTGTCACAAGCACTCTGTTATACATAACACTGTGACAAGTAGTGTTATACATTACACTGTGACAAGTAGTGTGTTATACATAACACTGTGACAAGCACTGTGTTATACATTACACTGTGACAAGCACTGTGTTATACATTACACTGTGACAAGCACTGTGTTATACGTTACACTATGACAAGTAGTGTTATACGTTACACTATGACAAGTACTGTGTTATACATAACACCGTGACAAGTACTGTGTTATACATTACACTATCACAAGTAGTGTAATATACATAACACCGTGACAAGCACTGTGTTATACATAACACCGTGACAAGTAGTGTTATACGTTACACTATGACAAGTACTGTGTTATACATAACACCGTGATAAGTACTGTGTTATACATTACACTATGACAAGTAGTGTGTTATACATTACACTGTGACAAGCACTGTGTTATACATTACACTGTGACAAGCACTGTGTTATACATTACACTGTCACAAGCACTGTGTTATACATTACACTGTCACAAGCACTGTGTTATACATTACACCGTGACAAGTAGTGTTATACATTACACTGTCACAAGCACTGTGTTATACATTACACTGTGACAAGAAGTGTGTTATACATTACACTGTCACAAGCACTGTG